ATTTAGATTTTAATTCTGAACTTTTATTGATTTTTGATTAATTTCAATTATTTTTTTTTACTTTGCTAAAAAAAATCTAACAAAACTTTGGCTCTTATTTAACTTTTGTTGTAATGATTAAAAAATTATAAAAAAAAATCACTAATCTAGATTTATATAGTACTATTTACTGTAAAAATTTCAAAGCTATATCTTTTCAATTTAAAAAGTTAGAGAGGGGGGGATACTTATGATTCCTACTGTAAAAATTATTTTTAGTTATATCAATATATCAAAATTAATTTTATTATTACAATTACTGTATAAAAGATAATACATATGTATATATATACATATAAAGAAATATATATTATATAAATAAAGAAAGTATAATTTAAATAATATAAATAAATAAATTATTGAGGATTAGGATAAGCTGTGGTTTTTAAAGCATCAATAAAACTACTCCATAAATTATTTCTATGTGTCTTCTCCATATAAATTCATGAAGATGATTGGTAATTTTATCCTTGGTTTTATTACACGGTGGGACTCTCAACTTTAGTCCATTCCATAATCCTTCTATAGTATTAGTATGAGTTCCAGTTTCATGATTTATAAAACCTTGAGAATAGTTAACTTCATTATGAGATACATCTAATACTTCAATTCTGCAATACCTCTACTACATATCCGTATACACAATCGAGCCTGGCAAAACATGTCTAGCAATCACCTCAAGTAATATTTCAGCTGTTCTGTTAGGTATTGATTTAATGAAATATTTTTTTCTTCTGTTCTTTCAACTTCACCGATGACCCACATGCCATCAACCCGATAACCCCGATGGTACTTCCTTTTACCTATTTTAGTCTCATCAATTTCAACAATTATGTTAGGCCCACTAATCATATTATTATCATCTTCTAACGTACTAGAAACCAGATCTCTAAGATTATTTGTGTAATTTGAAATGGTAATTGATGAATGATTTATTATATGTAGAATAGTTGTGTATATTGCTTTATATAACCAAAAATATCTGGTTAATATAACCTCAGAATACTTAATACGGTTTTTGAAAAAAAAGAGTCTTTTAAAATAGATTGGGCTTTATAACATTCATAATTATTATATCGAAAAGGATTTCTATCATGATTTACTACAGATTTGCAAAGAGTATATTCTTTTGGTTTATATAATATATTATTATCAAATAAAAAATTAAAATATTCTTTTTTATCTAGAAAAATTTTATTAAGAAGCTTTAAAGAAAAAATTCAAATTGTAGAAGACATGCTTGAAATTTTTTTTATTTCACTCAAAAAAATTTAAACCAATATATATATACAAATGATATAATGCAATGATATAGCATAAATTTATACTAATAAATATTATTATAGTTAAGAAAAAAATTAATCAGTGCATTAATTCATAAGACAATAAAAAAAAAATCTGCATAAATTCATGGATTAAAAAAAAATCAATTAATACATTAATTCATGCTATATGAAAAAAAACCCGAGAAATATGTTAGAGTAAGAATTGTTCACCAAATTTAAAAGCCATAATTAGATAAATGCTAGATTCATAAAAAAAAAATGAAAGAGATATGTAAGAATGAGAATTGTTCATCAAATTTAAAAGCTATAATCAGAGGAATGGCCCAAAAAATGCTAGATTCATAAAAAAAAAAACTGAGAGATATGCTAGAGTAAGAATTGCTCACCAAATTTAAAGCCATAATCAGAGAAATGATCCGAAAATGCTGAATTCATAAAAAAAAACTGAGAGATATGTTAGAGTGAGAATTATTTACCAAATTTAAAAGCCATAGTCAGATGAATAACTCGAAAAATGCCAGATTCATAAAAAAACCCTGAGAGATATGTTAGAGTGAGAATTGCTAACTGAATTTTAAGGCCATAATTAGAGGAATAGCACAAAAATACTGGATTCATAAAAAAAAAAACAAAAGAGATATGTAAAAATGAGAATTATTCACCAAATTTAAAGCCATAATTAGATAAATGGCCCGAAAATGCCGGATTCATAAAAAAAAACTGAGAGATATGTTAGAGTAAGAATTGTTCACCAAATTTAAAAGCTATAATTAGATAAATGACCCAAAAACGCCAGATTCATAAAATAAAAAAACGAAAAAAATATGTTAAAGTGAGAATTACTCACCAAATTTAAAAGCCATAATCAAATGAATGACCCAAAAGACGCCAGATTCAGAGAGATATATTAAAGTGAGAATTGCTAACCGAATTTTAAGGCCATAATCAGATAAATGGCCCAAAAACGCCAGATTCATAAAAAAAAATGCAAGAGATATGTAAAAATAAGAATTGTTTACCAAATTTAAAGCTATAATCAGATAAATATCCCAAAAATGCCAGATTCATAAAATAAAAAATGAAAGTGATATATAAGAATGAGAATTTTTCACCAAGTTTAAAAGCCATAATCAGATAAATGATCTGAAAATGCTGGATTCATAAAATAAAAAACGAAAGAGATATATTAGAGTGAGAATTTTTCACCAAATTTAAATGCTATAGTCAAATGAATGATCCAAAAAATGCCAGATTCATAAAATAAAAAATGAAAGTAATATATAAGAATAAGAATTTTCCCCCAAATTTAAAAGCCATAATCAGATGAATGATCCGAAAAATGCTGGATTCATAAAATAAAAAATGAAAGAGATATGTAAGAATGAGAATTTTTTACCAAATTTAAAGCTATAATCAGATGAATGGCCCAAAAATGCCAGATTCATAAAAAAAAAAACTGAGAAATATGTTAGAGTAAGAATTGCTCACCAAATTTAAAGCCATAATCAGAGGAATAACTCAAAAAACGCCAGGTTTATAAAAAAACCCCAAGAAATAAGTTAGAGTAATATATAAAAATGAGAATTTTTTACCAAATTTAAAAGCTATAATCAGATGAATGATCCAAAATTGCCAGATTTATAAAAAAAAAAATGAAAGAGATATGTAAAAATAAGAATTTTTTACCAAATTTAAAAGCCATAATCAGATAAATGACCTGAAAAATGCCAGATTTATAAAATAAAAAACAAAAGTGATATGTAAAAATGAGAATTGTTCACCAAATTTAAAAGCCATAATTAAATGAATGACCTGAAAATGCCGAATTCATAAAAAAAAAACTGAGAGATATGTTAGAGTGAGAATTATTCACCAAATTTAAAAGCTATAATTAGATGAATGACCAAAAACGCCAGATTCATAAAAAAGAAAATGAAAGAGATATATAAGAATGAGAATTGCTTATCAAATTTAAAGCTATGATCAGATGAATGGCCTGAAAATGTCGGATATCATAAAAAAAAAACTAAGAGATATGTTAGAGTGAGAATTGCTCACCAAATTTAAAAGCTATAATCAGATAAATAACCCGAAAATTGCCGGATTTATAAAAAAAAATGAAAGTAATATGTAAGAATGAGAATTTTTCACCAAATTTAAAAGCCATAGTCAGATGTATAACCTGAAAAATGCCGGATTCATAAAATAAAAAATGAAAGATATGTAAGAATGAAAATTTTTCACCAAATTTAAAGCCATAATCAGATGAATAACCCAAAAATGCCAGATTCATAAAAAAAAAAAAAAGAAAGATATGTAAGAATGAGAATTGTTTACCAAATTTAAAGCCATAATCAGATAAATGGCCAGAAAATGCCAGATTTATAAAAAAAAAATGAAAGAAATTGTGTAGGTGAGAATTGCTCACCAAATTTAAAAACGAATAGTCTGAAAAACACCAGATTTATAAAAAAAAACAAAAGAAATTTGTATGAGTAAGAATTGCTCACCGGATTTGATCCTAATCAGATGAATGATTAGAAGAGTGAAAAAAAGATACTAATACTAAATGTGAGAAATAGTACCCCAGAAAATTTTTCTATTTGGTAAAAAAAAAATCAAAAGAAATATATAGTTAAATATATACTATATATAGTTATTGTATTATTGTTATATAAGTAAAAACTCATAATTATGTAAAGATTGGTATGAGTTAAACCAATTTGAGTTAGTTTAACATTGAGTTAATATTAAGTGAGTAAGTGAGAGTTAATATTAAATAGGATTAATTCTAAGTGAGTTAACGTTAAATAAGTTAAATATGTAAGTGATTAAACTCACATTAAATAAGGTAAAGTAAGTTAAAGTAAATTTATATAAGTTTGATACTTGTTGGAATTTTGGCCACCTATACTAAAGTAGATCTGTATATAATTTTTTTATAATAAAATTATATAGTGGTCACCTGTACTAAAGATCAACTGATATCTTGTTAACCACCTAGTCAAATTTGATAAACTTTTTTATTTGTATTCTACAGATTTGTAGAATTCAAATAAAAAAAGTTGTTTGATTTTGACTTGGTGGTTGTTGAGATATCTTTGCTTAAAGTTTAAGAAAATTTTTGATATAGCTTTGTTTTGATAGACAATTTGAGTTTTAGTAAAGATATTTCATCAACTATTAAGTCAAGTTTAATTAACTTTTTTTTATTCAAATCCTACAGATTTATAAAATTCAAATAAAAACATTCATCAAATTTGATCTGGTGGTTGATAAGATAACTTTATTTAAAGTTTAAGAAATTTTAGCATAGCTTTATTTTAATAGATATTTTTTCTTAAAACTTTGAGCAAATATATTTCATCAACCACCAAGTCAAATTTAATAAACTTTTTTTATTTGAATTCTACAGATTCGTAAAAGTTAAATAAAAAGTTTATTGAATTTGACCTGATAACTAATGAGATATTTTTATTCAAAGTTTGAAAAAAAATTTGGCACAGACTTTATTTTAGATATTAAGTTTTTTTAAAATTTTGAGCAAAGATATCTCAACAACTACTAGGTCAAATTTATTGAACTTTTTCATTTTAATTCTACAAATCTGCAGAATTCAAATAAAAAATATTATTAAATTTAACTTAGTAGTTGATAAGATATCTTTACTCAAAGTTTTAAAAAAACTCAAAATATCTATTAAAATAAACTGCACCAAAATTTTTCTCAAGCTTTGAACAAAGATAGCTTATTAGCTACTAGATTATATTTGATGAACTTTTTTATTTTAATTCTATAAATTTGTAGGATTCAAATAAAAAAAGTTTATTAAATTTGACTTGGTAGTTGATAAAATATCTTCACTCAAAGTTTTAAGAAAACTCAAACTGTCTATCAAAATAAAACTGCTAAAATTTTCTCAAACTTTGAGCAAAAATATTTTATTAGCCACCAGGTCAAATTTAATGAAATTTTTTATTTAAATTCTACGAATCTAAATAAAAAAAGTTTATTAAATTTGACTTGGTGGTTGATAAGATATCTTAGCTTAAAGTTTAAAAAAACTCAAAACATTTATCAAAATAGAAGCTGTGCTAAAACTTTTCTCATATTTGAGTGAAGATATTTTGATAATCACTAGGCCAAATTTAATAAAAATTTTTTTATTTGAATTCTATGAATTAGTAGGATTTAAATAAAAAAAATATCAGATTTGACCTGGTGTCTATACAGAAACCTTTGCTCAAATTTTTTAAAAAAATTAATTTATGCTATATTAGATTAGATAGATGACATTAAGAATGTTTTCTGATTAGTGCATCTTTCTTTCAGAAAGTTTTCAAATTCAAGTTTAATTTTTTATTTTAGACCATTTTAAGTAACAATTTTATTTAATATTCTTCCCCCACCACCTCTGAGAGCTTCTCTAAAATTAAACAAGCCAATCAGAATATCCATTATATTTTTGAGATTTCAATAAATTATGTGACTATTTTATAACACTAGTCAAACAATTGAGATCTAATTTTATATTCAGTTTAATTCAGTCTATAAAATTAAAAATCAATATACAAAATTGATTTTATTTAACTTATATATAAATTTATAGTCAAAATCAAAAATCAATAAATTTATAGACTAAATTATATGTTGATTTTTAGTTTTATAGGCTGAATTAAGACTAAATATAATATTTGACCTAATCAGAATCTTAATTGTTTAACTAGTGTAATAAGATTTTTTTAAATGTTATATAATACTTAATTTGACCTCTTTTGCTATGCTTAAGCTTTGAAAGAAATGTTAAATGAAATTATAACTTCTGGTGGCCTTGATAAAAATTAATAAAAATTAATGATTATTTTTTATAGGGATTATATATATGTATCCAAAGGTACATATAACTGTATTATGTAATCTATAGATCACCACTAAAATTCAATCAGGAAAATTCAAAAAAAAACGTTTATTTTGATAAAAACTGCTCATTTTGCAAGAAATTGCATACTAAACCACCTTCTGTGTATTAATAAAAAGTTCTTTTTGAGAGATTTTACTATATAATAGCCTAAACCCTAACCTTAACATAGTTATTACCCTAACCCTAACCTAAACACTATCGGTATTATTTTTTGTATTTAATATCATATGATCAAAATAATGAGTACAAAAAATTTAATATACCCACAGGTATAACTATATTAATTCTTTTTTTTTATATTTGCAATAAATATTAATTTTATTAAATATCGGTTATAAAAAAAATATTTTTTTTTTAATGCTCTTTATTGCTAAATTATTTAATATCTTATAAAATAAACATTAATTTTAAAGAACAAAATTATTTATAACACAAAAATTTATAAAATTTCTTTAAATTTTTTATTTTTTACAAATTGTTACTAAAAATTAAAGATAATAAACTTTGTTAAAAAACTAGGTAAGCTTGGTTTAAAACATAATTTATTATATAAATCAAGTTTAAAAATAAAACCGAGACAAGATAATTAAATTCTCAGAAATACCAGACAATAAAAATATCCAATATTTGAATATTTTATGAATTGTATTAGTATAATTCAAAAATACATATATTAATTCGAAAAATTTTTCCAAGTTACAATTCTGTTAGAATAGATTTTTATTTATTTAATAGTTAATAAAGTTATTTTATTTAAAGTTTATGTGTTCAAGATTTTTGGTGCTTAATGCATATATATATATGTATTTTATAAAAATACTGTAGTTAATGTTTTATTAATCAAAATTAGCCAATCTGAATTGATTATGTAATTTAAATTTTGCGGTTTTAAAAAATTATTGAATATTTTTGCTGTTTCGTACTGTAGCAATTGCGCTGAGTTCACCATAAGCAGTTGGGTTTGTGCGGCTTAGTACTGGCCGGTGGTTTCCCGCAGGTCGGCCGTTGATGTAAACATGTGATATATTGATGTTTTGCAGTTATAAGCAGTTATGAAATAGTAGATCCCTTAGGATGAGGATGATTCGCGAACTGTGGTTTGCTGCAGCTGAGTTGGCAATTCTTGGTGTAGGGTATTGCAGCGCTTCCTCATAAATTCGCCATTAATCTCACGGCGGCCTTATTGTTGTATGCATAACGATAAGGTTATTAAATCATACTCACCTGGGCTTGATTGTGTGAATCCGGCCCTAAACTTGATTGTACGAATTCGGTCCTAGACTTGATTGTGTGAATTCATCCCTTTTTCTGTCATTCATTTCACAGGGTACATTGTCCCTGCTTAGCATCTTTTCGATCTATCGATTTTACATCAATTCGAATGCTAACTCGGGTAATAAACATGAACCAATACAAATGTAATTTTTTACATTTTATGCCACATATGTACCCCGATCGGAAAGAAGTCTAAGAAAAATCGACATCAATCTTTTAAAATGATAACATTATTAACGAACGAATGCCTTTTAGAAATATTTAAAACCTCCAGTCATCTTATTGTAATGATTGGGTTATACTTATTTTCGTGCCTTCTTGTAAATTGTCAATGGTGTAAAATCGTTGTACCACTATTATGGATGACCCAGAAGTCCTTAATGAAAAATATGTAAGAGCATGCCTTTTATTATTAAATACCGAAGAAGAGCAAGCTCAACTAATACCTTTTAATATAATCTACCTAATGATTATTTGAATACACAAGATATATTAAATTTATTAGATTTGTTTTAGACTAAGTTCATACTTGGATGTATGAACCTACAAGTGCTATAAAACATTTTTAATTGCAATGCTTTTACGAACAGCTAACATTCACCTCCTTAAGTCTTTCCAGAAATCGTCTTTGCCTAAAAAATTTGCAAAGATTCTTTACATAAATACTACTCTGGCTTCTCCGAATCTTGTAGATAATAATATTGGATCGGAAGGAGGAAAAGCATTTGCATAATTTCTTTGTAAAAATGCTTCTTTAATCTCGTTAGGTCTTAGTTACAATAATCTTGATTATTAATGAAGAAAAGCATTTGCAGAGGCTTTTTGTAAAAATACCACTCTGATTTCTTTAGATCTTGTATGTAGTAATATTGGGCCGGTAGGAGTAAAAAATTAATAGAAGCACTTTGTAAAGATACTATTTTGACTTCTCTAAATTTTGCTGGTTTTGAAGGTTGACACAAGTTCTTCACACATACCTAAACTTCGTTAGATCTTATAACAATAATCTTGGTTTTGAAGGAGGAGAAGCAATAGCAGAAGCTTTTCGTATAAATTCTTCTCTGATCTCTTTAAATTTTGCTGAAAATCGAATTGATCCCGAAGTGGAAAAAGCTTTTTGCAAAAATACATTTTAACTTCGTTAAATCTTTATATAATAATCTCAGGTTTGAAGGAGGAAAAGCATTTGCAGAAGCTCTATGTAAATATTACTTTAACTTCATTAGAGCTTAGTTTTATTTTAAAGTAGAAGAAGCTTTAGCTGAATTTTAAAAATTAGTTATAATGGATTTCGTCTTGAAAAGGAGAAGTAATAGAAGTGATAGTGACATATTCTTCACTTATTACTCCCATGCCACCGCATTATTATCTTGGCCAGATTAAAATATTACAACTTGATGACAGTTTATAACGATTATATTATGTAGAAACAACAATTCAGAAACTTAAAAGAACTAAATGTTTCAGAAGATAAACAAATAAAGTTCTCAAATAAAGATTAAAAATTTAAAATATGGCTCTATTAATTTTACTTGATTATAAACCATTAAAAAAGATTTTTTTAAAAAAATGTATACTAAATAAATATATTATTTATATATAAGTCTTATATAGTAACATCAGAAGTAATGTCAAAGAAATCAGAAATCATCGATTTCTTTTTTTTTTTTGATCTGCAAATTTCACATAATATTGCACTGTAATAAATAAACTTGAACTCGATTAAGAAATTTATTAGTGACGATTGGTTTTACTCATCTGGATTGAAAAAATTTTGCCTTATATGCTTTGCTTTAATGAATTATTGTGAAACGTAATATATTAAATTTGTTTTTATTGCGCTTTGTAAAAAGATGTGACCTCTGCAGATCACAATGTCGTTTGAAAATCAGAGATTCTGTTGATTTTAAGAATTTTACCAATTTCAAATAAATAGAAATATAGCAGATCGAAATATGAATTATTGCGCTTTGAAAAAAAGTGTGACCCTGTGATTTCACGGTGATGATGGCGGAAAAATTTCCGAGATTTTAATTCCCTATTGATCATAATTTTCAATCATTCGAGTTGACGGACGTACGTAAGTCAACAGATCGAAAAGATGGCGAAGCAGGACGTAGGCGCATCACGTGGCCGGGCAAGGGCGGGGTCACGAGCCGGGCGTAGCAAAGATAGGGAGGCATGTGAAAATCATTATTGAGATTCCAGATCGAGATTCGGAGACAGGTGAGTATGATGTAAGATCAGTTGCCGCATATGGCCTAGGACAGGATCGATACAAGATGAAACTAGTACTAGTAAATAAGGAGCGGCGCCGGCAACTACGCCAAGAGCAGTCAACTCTGCTGCGAGGAAAGAAGCATAATTGCAATGAGCAAGAAGCAAAAGTAAACCACAAGACTCGTATTACCAGATGAGAGCACAGCATCTGAAGAAACAATAGGTGCATCAGAGGCTTCAAGCAACCAAGCGCAAGATACACAAAGCCCGGCGCACGTTATTGATTCGCAAACGAAGGCATATTTGGATATGATGTTTCAGGCAACTACGGTTTCGGTGATATAAACGGTAAAGCAATACATGGACCAACAGTTCGAAGTTCAGAAAGAATGGAACGTACAATGTATGGAGACAATCAACAGAAGATTTGCGCAGCTAGAACAAGCGAATCTAGGCGGTAACGAGAGCAATAACAACAACTTGAATAATAACGAACAAAGAACAGAAGTACAACCGCAGCAATCACAGCGCCAGGATCAAGAAGTCGGGCAGACCCCAAATATAGGAAGAAATTTGAAGATAATTACCCCCAACACCTACAATCAACAATTTGATAATGAAAGCGAGCTCTGAGGCACAAGGCAATGATAGGCAAGAGAGTGACGGATTGATTAAGTACAAGATGACCACAAGAAAATTTCCGGTCATCGATTACACGGCATTCAAGCAGTTACCAGTAATTCAAGGGTTGAACAACCCTAAGGCTAAAGAAACAGAGCGCATCCGCGCATGGTGGGTAATGAATTGGGCCGAAGGCCAGAGATTAATCGAAATTCTCCCGTGTAAACCAAGCCTAACCAACAGAGTATGGAAAGCACTAGCGCTTGGTTCCTTTATTAACCTGCAAGAATTTGCGTACAAAAATATGGTGGATAATGTAAAATATATGGAAGAGGATACAGTCCTACAGACAGCGGATAAGGCCGTTTGAAGTTAATTTTTCGGTTAACATCACCCCTCCCCCCTCCCCTTTGGCGTCCCCCGGTAAAATGA